ATGCTAAACTTTCACTTATAAAAATTTCTTTACTTTAATAAAAATATATTTGATATGCATTATCATTATGACATAATTTCATATTATCTTATCGCCTTTCCAGATTTCTTTTCTTTGCTGCAATTCTCTTATTAGGACGTTTAAAAGAATAATTGGTAAATAACGATGGCCAGTCCTAATTTCAAAGGAATAATTAAAAAAAGAATTCCTATTTTAAAATGGCTACCGCAGTATAAACTGAAAGATGCATTAGGCGATCTTGTTGCGGGTCTCACCGTAGGATTAACCTTGATACCTCAAGTACATAATATGTCTGTTTAATCGTCTGAAGCTTCTCAGTCGTTATTCAATCGGTATTAAAAAAAAAACATGATACTTGCGATTACAGGCGATAGCTTATGCAGGTTTAGCGGGTTTGGAGCCGCAATACGGGCTTTATAGTGCGTTCGCGGGAAGTTTCGTCTATATTTTTTTCGGCACATGTCGAGAAGTCAATATCGGTCCTACAGCACTCATATCTTTACTGACTTGGACATACGCGAGGTACGTTAAAGCTTCTAAAAATAATAAAGTAAGTTATTGGCCTTTTAAATTTCTAGATTTTTGCACGTAACAATTCTACACTTAAGTATCAATTCTTCCTTTAGTCTTTTAATTATATAATAAATTTTTCCACTATTTGTTGTTAGACAAATGTGTAGTTTTCAGATTTTAAATGTCGTTTGCAGTTCCTATGATTTTTTTTTTTAATATAAAGTGTAAATTTTATGGCATTAGCTAGGAACAGTATACACATTTTAGGATAATTGGTCGGAAGTTATATTTAATCTTGCTTGTATTGAAGACGTCGTTATGTGCATGATCGACATAACAATGTTCTCGCTTGAAGTTTCATCCGGTCGTGCGATGAAAGAGAGTGCTAATCAAATGAGATCACTTGAGTAGTAACGTAATTGAATTGTTAAAAGCACTTTTCATAAGCCATGTCTCTTGAGAAAACGTCGTTCGCGTCAAGGCTGTACAATATAGAAGTGCACTTACATTCCAAGTTTGATGATTTTTTTCCAGTGGAATTCCCGAGTATGCGGCCTTGCTTTGCTTTCTGTCTGGATGCATCACGATATTACTTGGCATTTTACGCTTAGGATTTTTAGTCGAGTTCATATCGATACCGGTGGTGTCCGGATTTACATCAGCTGCGAGCGTCATCATCGCTTGCAGTCAAATAAAAAATTTGCTAGGTTTGAATATTCACGGTGAAAGATTCGTCGAAATTTTGATGGAGTTAATACATAACGTGGCTGACACGAAAATACCGGATTTGATTTTATCGTGCTGTTGTATCCTAATTTTACTGATCTTGAAGGTATAGAACTTATTTGGAGCTACAAACAGGCTACGGTCACGAGATGTATCGGTCTATTTTTGTTTTTTTCAGTATTTGAAAGATAAAAAAGTCGCTAGTATCACGCTAAAAAAAATCCTCTGGACGATTGGTACAGCTAGGAATGCTCTCGTGGTTGTCCTTTGCGCCGTTACGTCTTATATTTTTGAAATGAACGGCGGAGCGCCGTATATCCTTACGGGTCACATCGACGCCGGTCTCCCAATTGTCAAACCACCTCCGTTTTCGAGTACAATTGGCAACCGAACCGACAGCTTTATCGATATGACGAAGAATTTAAAGTTTGGCATCTTCATTGTGCCGCTCATCTCTATCATTGGAAACGTCGCCATCGCAAAAGCTTTTTGTATAACATTTTTAATACATATTACATATATTATATAAAATCATTTCGCAAAAAAACGCGATTCTATTTCTTTATTTGATTGATGACGATAAAAGTCGAGAGAGTAAAATTTTAACCCGTTCGTAATCGTACGAAGTAAGACTTCTTCGCAAGACTTCTTTCCTTTCGTTTTGTTATCT